TCCCAGGTTGAAAAATGTCCTCAATACATACATTGGGAAGCATTTCCTATAAAAATTAGCAGGCATAATATGGTTGAATAACAATTTAAGCTTACAGACAAGGAGTTTATTGACAATTGTGTTTGATCTGTTTTCGTTTTTAAAAAAAATAAAAATTGTTATCAAAAGATAACAAGTCTATTCAAAGAAATTAGTATTTAAGAATACCAATATATTTAAGGAAATTATTTCATGCAGGTTGGACCGCATTTCTACAAAATGCGGTCCCAAGGTATAAAGCATCCATCTTAAAGATGGATATAACTAGGTGGTCCATCTAAAAACAATTGAAACTAACAGCCCAAATATTTTAGGAATAAAATCATTATTATTATTTATATTCATGATCTCTATTTTAGAGATTACATGTCTTTAAATAATTGGTCTGAAAATCCATATCAAAAATAGATTTTTAAGAGTCGATTCATTTCTACATGGACTCATAGAAAACATGTGAAAGAAGGCCTATGTGATCTTTTGCTGGGGAAATATAACTTTTTTTTTATAATAATAATCACCCCTTATAATTTTGGCAACAAAATCACTCATAGATGGTCTTATTACAGGCAATAGAAATTCCAAAAAAATAAATAACACATTAATAAAATAAATCTCAACTACTTGATGACATTCAGACAACCTAATACTGTGCTTTGAGAATATAAAATAAAAGAACCGGAGATTGCCTCAACTGGGCTTTTACACCCCACAACGAGTCACCACATCCAATGGCGCTAGATCTATAGTCTAGCTTCAATCTCGAACCGAGATAGCTGATTTCAGCCAAACTAGGTGACCACCCCTTAAAATCTCTATTAAACATTAACCCCTAAAATTAACTTAGGCCCCCTCTAAATTTTCCAACCCTTAGAATTAACTTAGGTCTAGAGATGAGAGAAAGTACTACCTAGGATTTTAGAGAGAGAAATATAGAGGAGAGAGACTGGAGTGTGCCCTCTAGGAGAGAGAGAGGTCAGAGAGAGAGAAGAGAGATTGTGTGTGTATGGAGATTGCGGGGAGAGCGCCCCTATTTATAGTGGATATTTAGGTTTAGGGTTTCTTAGAGTTTTCCCATAGTTTGTCTCTTTCATGAGAATGAATCTAGACCGTTGATCAAGGTGACTTGTGGGGTGAGAGATCTGAGTCATCTATTCCATAGATGGGCTATCAATATTATGGAAGGTGCTTGGACCATTATCGCCATTTTTTTAAACGATTGTCCCATCAATATATTTAAATAAAATAAATATCATGCATTCCATAAAATTACATGATCCATCTCACATATTCCATAAGAATATATCAAGAAATATCAAGTAAATAGATACTACCAAATATGAACAAGATAAGGTCAATATTTACTATCTATTCAAATTGACCATATCCCTTTAAAACAAACTTGCCAAAATATAAAAGAAGTCATAGTCAATATTTCCTTTCTAAGATATGACTATATGACATAAGATGCTATTTCCAAATTTAAACAACTTATAATCAAATCCAACAAAGAGTATCCAAGAGGGTGGGGGCATGCCACCCCTATGCGCACGTGTGGGCCCCCACCCACATGCCACATAGTGGGCCCATGTACACTATGGGCCCCTATGAAATTTTTATAAAAATATATTTATTTTTAAATTGAATAAAACAATTTAAAATATATATTCAAATTTTCATAACTTTGTAAGAACAATAATTGTATTTTTATAAGTCCAAAAATTACAAATAAGATATTGAGAGATTCATAAAAATTAAAATAACAAATCTAAAATAATTTCAATAATAAAATGAACACAATTAAATTAATATGATGGGAAAAAGATTCATATGGTTTTAAGAATTCAATCTGTAATAATGGGGTACTCCACCTTCAACTGTAGACTATAGACCACACTAGCTTTATCAAACCGACCCAGTGTTTCCCATGACCCACAGTCCAAACATGGGCTCATTAGCGGGCCACCAAAGTCCGGTCGATGAATTAAGGGTTCGCAATCCTAATTTGTGGATTACAGGTCCTCCCCTAGAGTCGAGTCAATGTCACCACGACCTGGTGCAACCACAGCTCTATGGTCCATAGGGGTATCTCTCGCGCATGTATACGCTTCACCCAAAGGTGGATATATGGCTTTCCCAAACGATCTATCGATATGCATGCCGTGTGATGAAATATTGATGAGGTTTTGGCCCCAGTCTCAGTAGGCCTACCATCACACACAAGGGTCACACAGTCCCTTGGCTTACTCATTTTGGCATGAGCTCCGACCTCATCAAGGGCTAACTCAAAACCCTCTTCGGTTTAATTCTTTATGCCTAAGTACCTTGGGTTTTTCAATCGACTGGCCTAGATCTATAAGCACAGTCTGGCATAAAATAAACATCATTTGCTTAGTATGGTCATCGAGGGACCACACTCCCACTGAATTTATGTTTCACTATAATAAAAGTATTTCGATACACACTCATAAGGCCTTTAAATGCCACATAAACCCAACAACTTGTCCATATCTTAATCGGGTGTGGGAGAATGTGGTTTTTCTAAAAGGTACTTTTGTTTTAGGATTGTATAATGAGATCATTTACCTTTAATACAAGGAGGTCACATAGTACTTATAACATCCGATGTGAAATCAAATAGATTTGGTGTGTCATAAAGTTCAATTTTTTTTTTTTTAAAGTTTGAGTTTGATCATTAGAATAAATACAACCATCCCATTTCATATCCAATAGTCAAGATAATTGCGACTACCTAGTACTAAAGGTAAATTGCCTCATTGTATATATTCCTTTCATTTTTTCATGGAGGGGCGAAATTAGAAACTGCCCTTCATTTTGTAATTCATCATGACACATTCCTTAAAGAGCATCCTAAAAATTAGGATTAAAAAATGATAAGTATATAATGAGACCATTCCTCTTTGGAAAAAGTTTACATAAGGCTGCAACCTTAAAATGTAGAATTAAACATGCACATCATAAATCTAATGGAAAAGGTTGTTTTAATATTTAAAAAACTCTAATTGATCATCTCGACATCGATATGTATGAATAAAAAAAATATAAAAGATTTTGAGTTCTAGAAATAGTGCATCTTGCAACATATTATCTAGAACGTCCAGTTTCAAGATTTTCATATGTTTATAGATCCACTTGATTTTAACCATTTTTGGAGCTTAAAATTTTATAATTAGATTTGAAAACAGATTTTGAGATAATCTTAAGAATTTTTATACAAAAATTACATGTTATGATAAAATTTAGAGATGCACCTTGATTGGATTGTTTAAGGTTGCAACCTTATAAAATCACACCCTCCATTTTTTAATATAGAGAGATCAGAAGGTGAAAGCAAAGAAATCGTCTTATAATATATAATTTAGAAAAGACAAAGGAGTCATAAGGTTAGTGCAAGGCTAGTGCCTCATGATAGAAGGCAAAGTTGCACGTTAAAACCCTACCAAAAATTGCAGTATAGAGAACCCGTGTGATGGTACAAAAAAACTACTTTTTTCCTTGATTATGAAACTCGAAGCTAAAGTTTATGAATGTTTGAAAATGGATGATCCAGATTATACGTTAAAAGATATTTTATTTTTAAAGCTTGAAATCTATTTTATTTAGATGCATAATAGTTGATGTTGAAATGATCAATTTGAAGGTTTCTTACCATTAAAATAACTTTTTTGGATCAAGATATGAGTTATGGTTTTGAAAAACTACACCTTACCCTTCCCCTATAAAATAGTAAACCAATAAAAACCTAATCTCTTGAGGAGAGAGAGTCATGATATGTTTCTTCTTTGGATAAATTATCGATAGGAATTGAAACCAAAATATAGCATTGCTATCGTCAACTACTAACCAAATAAACTCAAACCCCATTATCATTATAATTTATTATTATTATTGTAAAAATCATCATTCATTATCCACCAATCACCCCCTTTTATACATAAATTTGATACTTGGAATCAAAATCTCCATTCATTATCCACCAATCACCCCCTTTTATACATAAATTTCATTCTTGGAATCATCAGGTCACCTATCCTAGGGCAAGCTATACACAAATTGATGCATTGCATGGTAGATTGTAAACCACAGGGGAAGCTGCGCTTGATCTTCACCGTCGGCTATTAGAAATGGAGAGTGGATATGGGAAGTTAGCATGGCACATTCCATGGATATTCCCTTTGCCATCCACCGTTGGAACACAATCCTGCGCAATCACCAATACATCCGAGAATAGGGAGATGATTGGCCAGGCAATCTCTATAACATCTTCTAATACACACAACTGCTGTAGCCTCATCCGTTAGTGAAAATATAAAGAACCCCAAAAGAATAACGGTAATGAGTTTTTTATTCATCTTTCACCTCTAGAGAGAGAGAGAGAGAGAGAGAGATGAGGTTTCTATGAATTTTGATAGGGCTTTCTGTCTTTGAAGGAGTGGTAATGGTAGAGAGAGAAAAAGAGAGAGATATTGTGATAGAGAGAGAAAGATGAAATGTATGTAAATGCAAAGGGCCTTCTTCCTGATTGAGGATGGTAGAGAGAGAAAATTTTATGGTGGAGAGAAAAAGAAGAAAAGAAGAGGTTTATAGAGAGGAGGCTCAACCAACTGGACAGTTTATAAAAAGTAGTAGAGGTTAGAGCTGTTATAAATGGAGGAATGGAAGTGAGTATGATTGGTTGAGTCTTGCTTACAAATAGGATGAGAGAGAATATGAATGACATTTTTTACTATTAATAAACACCGTCCAAACAAAAAATCGTTGGATGCCTTAGAAAGAGGAATGATCCTATAGAACCCTACTTCACTTACGGGACCTCAACTCATGACCTTGTGATCCAAATCTCAAAGGTGGGATTTGAATTTTTCCCTTTCTTTTAATTTTTTTAAAAAAATAAAACTCTCTCTCTCATCTGTACTCTCCCCGTGACATATGCATCTCTCTCCTATTTTTGGTATTCTAAACCTTTGTCCCTCTCTCTCTCTCCATCTGGGTTAATCTCTCTCCCTCCCCCGAAAACCTAACCCTATGTCTTGGTTCCCAACTCAATGTTCGAGATAAATCTCACCTCGGTGGTGATGGAAGACTGTATAAATTGGGGGAAGCTTTTTGGGTTTGAGTAATGGCGGGGAGGAATGTAGATCGACAGATCGTGGTACTATTTCTATCAAGTCTAGAGAGAGAAACTGGTTCGTGATATTTCTATTAGGTCTAGCGAGAGAAACAAGCTCAATCGAGTGGGAGCTTTTTTCCTCTCAAAGTATAATTTCTCTCTCTTCTCCAATCTTCCGTCTGATAAATTTGACGTGATGATTTGGTTTTTCGTTACAATAATGAATAAAATTTACTCTATTTGAACAAAGAAGTATTTTATAAATAAAAAAATTATATTTTTTTCATAAATATTATTTAATAACAACAAAAAAAAATGCTATGAATTTATATTTATTAATCATAAATATCTTACCTCCACTCGTTCAAATATTAGAGCAGAGCTTCATGGTCTTAACCTGAAAATGTTTAAAATAAACCGTTAGTGTGAGAAACAATAATGCAAACAATTAAAATTTGGATTTGATAGAGTAATGCTACGAAAAGTTTTCCATAGAATTTCCAGAAATAGAAAATGCAACAGTTGTTTCATTCATATTTTGCTGCATAAACTAGATAGAAAAGGTATAAACCACATAACGACACCTTTATTCTTAAATTCTTACGTAAAGTATGTGCTCACAAAATAATTTATTTTTGACACTGAACCCTAGAAAATTTTTGAGCAGCAGGTAGGCCAAAGTAGGGCAAAATTTCGTTAGAATTCTTTCTTGCAACGACACAATGTGAAAATGCAACCAAACGGTCGAAAAGCACAACTTTGTCTCGGTGCAAATCACGTAGAAATCCGCAATTTTCAGCCGAATTTTCGGCTGAGGGGTAGATCTAGCTCGAACATTTCGGAGAAGAAGCGGGATTTCGTTGTTAGAGAGCACTTTCTACAATCTTAGACCTTGTCTCTGATCCTCGACTGGTGCATGCTTCTTTCAGTTGTGAGCTTGATTTCTCCATTTCCAACATCGAATAAAAGCTCGATTTTGAACTCAGAAGCTCTCAAATCAACGGTTTTTTTAAGACCCACCTCGTTAAAATCCACCTGGCTCTGCAAAAGATTTTCAGGCTGGCGATTTAGCCTGAATTTTCAGAAAACCGGCGAATTTGAAGGTAATTTCGTCCTCTTTTATGTTTTTGGGTAACAAAGTTGTTTAGTTTGTGAATTCCGTTGGGTTTTGTTTATATTTTTGAATTTTAGTTTTTCATGCTTTCTTGGTGGGTTTTTCGGGTGCCCATGTCGTTTAATTAGTCAATTCTGTTTTGCTTTTTTTTTTTTTAGGATTATTATTATTTTTATAATTTTTTGAGTGTTGTTTCGATTGTTTGATGGGGTCGCATGCTTTTTAGTGTTGATCTCTTTCTGATAGTTTATCTCCTATGTTGTATCCGATACTCAGATGTTTATAGACTTCTACAACACTCACTGTTCATAGTTTTTGCATTCTTTTTGGGTACCCATGGGGTTTAATTATTTGTTTTTTCATTTTTTATCTGTTATCTTCAACTATGATTCATAGCAAGGTGAAAGATTCTTTTAATTCTAAGAAGCTTTTTTTCTAGTTAATTCGAAATCTATTCGGTTTCGAATTTGTTTTGCTTGCTCTTTAAGCTGGAATCTATTGAGATTCTCCATTCAGCTGATAATACCTTTTTAACTATTTGGTTGTCTCTGGTTGCCTATGTCATTTAATTGCTTGGAAATTCACAGTTTCTCTCTATTTGATGATTGTAAACAATGTGAATGGTATTCTTAGTGCTTTTACTTTTTGATGGGGTCTTGTTCATAATTTGAGTGTATTTCGTGGCGGTCTTTTATGAGTTATGAATTTTGACAGTTTAGATACATTTTCAAGTCCAAATTTTAATTCTTTGCATTATTGTTTTTCTTTTTCAAAATTAACACTAGCGGTTTATTCTAAACATTTTCGGTTTGAGACCCATAAAGCTCTGCTCTAACATTTGAATTGGAGGTATGATATTCATGATTAACAAATGTAAACCGATAGCATTTTCTGGTCGTTATTGAACAACATTTATGAAAGGAAGAAAAAATTTCTTGATTTATGAAATGATTTTTTACTTGGGTGGGGTATTTTGTTCATTATTGTAATGAAGAACCAAGTCTTCACTATTGTTTTCTAAGACGTGAAATTACAAAAAATTGATTTGTTATAATGTGATCGCCTTTTTAAGCAAATTGGATTAGGAGGGCGAGTGGCATGGAGAAGGTTGATTCTGACAGAAGGCTTTACACTCGGATGCGATTATGGGAACACCCTGATCAATATGTCATTGAGCCTGCTGATGGCCCCTTCGATTCCTTTTTAGCAATCAGCCGTGTAGATGGATCTCTCAACATGATAGGTTAGAGCTGTCTTCACTTGTGTCTTCTCCGGTCATGCCAATTTGAATTGTGATTTTGACATTACATTAAATTTTGGTTTTGACATTTTTATTGAAGAATTCATTGTATGTGTGCGCATGTGCATGTGCATGTGTGTGTGCACACACAAGCACATGTGCGTGTGCACACACAAGCACATGTGCGTGTTGCTATTTCACAGACACAAATACACCATCCACATTTCACTTGTAAGTTAAATGTGTCCATGCATATCTGCACGCACCATGACCAAAGTTGCTTACTTAGTGATTTATGTTGTTGGATGAATAGGAGAGCTTCCTCAATGTGGTTCGACCCCAGCCCCCAAAATGCGGACTATATATGGCTTGGTTGGAATGCTGAGACTCTTGGCAGGTGACTCTTAGTGCCATAGATCTACAACATATTTTCCTTCATGTTGAAGCTTTAAATTTTTTTATTTAGTTTCAGATTTTTTGGTATTTTTTAGGTCTTTTAGATATGGCTTCTAGCCTTGTCTGTTGCTACAATAAAGCAGTTTTAATTAATGCTGTGCTCTGCTAACTGCCTCCTCCCTCTCTCTCTCTCTCTCTCTCTCTCTCTCTCTCTCTCTCTCTCCTCCTCTCTCACTACTCTCACTCTACTACTCACTACTACTACTACTACTACTACTACTACTACTCTACTACTACTACTACGTACTACTACTACTA